CACTGTTTAGCATTTCCATTAACAGTTTCTTACGAAGAAACAGATGAGACTTCGCTAAAAGGCCAACATGCAGCCTCCCAGGAAATTCTGATGGTCGAAACCATGCCCTTCTCCCCAGCGTAAAACAACTGAGAAGGGGCTGTGGACATTTCACATATCCACTTAGGCATCTCAATCCTCGTCAGAACATGGCCTACAGCTCTGTTTAGAATATTTATTTCATTTAGTACTAGTGCTTTCCAGTTCTTGATTATTATAGCCCCAACTCAAGTTATCTCAGAAAGGCTCAAGAGAATGCATACTAGCTGTTCTACTTGTTGGCATCAGTTGTTTCAAAATTTCAGTCCAGAGCCTTGCAGCAATCTTTCCTGAAATGCGTATGGAAAGATTACCCAATCTCTAACAAACAGCCCTATTTACACATACTAGTATTAAAATAATGTTCTTTTGCTGGCATTCTTAGCAGAGAAGCAAAGAGCTTATTGAGAACAAAGGGGGTGAACAACATTCCTTCTGAGTCAGTAATTTCCTCCAGGGCACGGACTATATCACCTAGGCACTGTCGGCATGAAAGTGGTAGTGCCTTTTCTGTGTACATTCTATTAATACTGATTTCTTTTTCATAGCGCTGCCTCCTCCCTGCTTCTGCACCACTGTAAAATGGATTTACATTTTTTCAACAAAAACATATTATGATATTTTCTCATTTTTCTGTTTCTGATAAACTATTGTCCGCTTGCCTGGTTGTCTGTAGGTGCTCTGGGTTTGGATCATTGGGACAGACACATAGGCAGGAAGATTACAAGGTTTTGAGGTGACATGTAATTTTACACATGGATTGTGTCCTGCTGGTAACTAGAAAATTCTCTATGGCTCCTCAGAAAGTCAAATAGTGAATAAAGAGGACACATAGCATCTTCCCATTTATAGAAAGCCAGGCTAAATAAAGGCACGTGGAGATACTAGTTAGAGCAGGTTAATTTAGTGACTGTTTAAGCTCTCATGCCACATTTGGGATACCATCCTGAGGTTGTGAAATTGCTGGTATTTTACATGCAGCTTGTTGTATACAGCAGGACTACGTTATGCAGAATATTTTAAAGGAAGAAGGGCAAGATTTAGAGGCCATTAAAAACTGTTAACAGCAGTCTCCAAGTCATGGACAAAAATGAGAGTATTGTGTAATGTAAGTGAAAATAATTGACAATCAACACACTGAACAGTAACCACAGAACACAGACCTTCTAAGCCTCTGGAAACAAGACAAGACTATTACAGGCACACTGTACAAAGCATATTTTGACTCTTCCCACCTAACTGATGTTACCTAATATGTTAAAACAGAAGTTTGACTTTAACTTGAGGTACAGCTAAAGTTGAGTTTTAGCCGATACTAATACAAGCCGCTTATCTGAGCTAAGACTGTGTGGATCTTCACACATTTAACCCACGCTCCGAATTTTTTGAAGACACATCTCTTTTTGTACTGCAGACATATACTGTATGGCCAATCATCCTTAGAGTTCCTGACTAATTCTAAGGACCTATGTAGTCCTACAAAAGTCACAATTTACAAGTCAAAACTCCAGACTGATAGCCAAGCTTTGAAGAATGATGCATTTTGACAATGATCAGGAAGTATGAAGCTCTGAACTCAGTGACAACTTTCTGTAGGTCTTTCCTATCGCATTTTAAAACCTTAAGGTATCAGAAGTAATTATTCATCTCATCAGCTGGTGGTACTAAGTCATCAAGATTAATTTTCTGCTCAGTCTATCATCATCTAGCTCCAAGACTCAAAATGGAATCACAGCTGCATTGCTCCACTATTGTCAAGGGCACAAAATGACGAGCTCAAGCTGCCACCTGTTTGACGTGGCCTCCAAAACTTGCTCATCTCCTTTACACTTGACCGAGGGTCCCACTGCCGCTTGGCTCGCGCGGCTGTTTCTCCCCCAAGTATGTCTGAACATCTCAGAGCAGACACTTTCTTTCTGCCAAACAACAGTGGTGCTGAAGGCATCCAACCACAGCTGAAAGCATTTCACTGCCAAGGCATTTGTCGCACCTGCGTACAGTCCTCCCACAGAAGTGGGTGGGAAGGGCTGCACACAGCTATAACATTGCTCAGTGCAGAAGTTTACAGGATATGTATTTCTCTGAATTGAAGAGTATCTTGTCATTGCAAGACTATATGTTTAAATGCACAGCGCACAGACAAAGGCCTACGGAACTTTCTTCTTCCCTTCTTTATCCTCCTCAAGAGATCACAAGCCACAGGGAATATTTTTGTGGCTAAGTAACAGTAGACAGCAGCCTTCGCAAGCAAAAAAGCCTGGTTACAGTCAGGCAGGCAGAGTATTATGAAAACACTGTAAAATGATTACACTGTAAAAGTGTAATCCACTCCAAGTGTAAGCCATTATAAGTGCCCATGAAAGGGAAGAATGCTGGCATGAGAGAATAAACATAACAAAACCAACAGCTCCAAGTAGGTATAAAAGCATGTTCACTACTCTGCAAATTCAAAAATCCTTGTAGCTAAAAGTCTCCAAAAAAAGCCCAAACACACACAACACTAAACTAAAACTAAGCACTCATCTGAAGTTCTGCTTGAGGCAAATAACCCATAGTCTTACTTACAGGTACACAAGCACCACAGTTGCTAAGAGAAGTGACCCTCAGTCTTGAACACCAGTTTTATATTTCTTCAGCCAAAGTTCAGCTAACAAGAGAACAAGTGGCCTAGTAAGGGAACAATTTATGCCCAGCCTGAGATATCTAAAATGTAATTTTAGTAAGTGCTTTAGGCTTGCTAGAGATGAGCCTGTATTTTCATAAGCAGGAATTCAGGGACTAAGGGGGTTCTCAGTCATGAGTTTGTTTTATGCAAAGATTCTTCTTATCACAAAAGGCAGGAGTGAAACAACAGAAAAAACTAGACATTACTAGGACATTACTTGCATCTCCCTCAATTTCTCCTTTTATAGAATAAAGGTAACTAGTTAGGTGCTTTTGTTAAACCGATTCAAATCTGACCTACATTTTTGTAGATATCAAGACAATTTTATTTGGCCTGTCAAATCTCACTTTTAGAAAAAGAACACTTGCTTTTGAACAACTGAGGGCAGTTCAAGTAGTTTTTATGAAAGATTCTGCAGTAATGTTTCAATATTGCAGCATCTTACATCTGTTTATATTACAATGAAACTACCAGCCTTGCCCCAATCTGCCTGAACTACATTTAGTTCTGAACAAAAATTGAAGCCTACTAAGGATTATCCTACTTAAGAATTTTTAAAAGGTGCATTACTTATGTTTTCTTCCCCTTATTACATTTTGTTCTGTTAAAACAGCCGTATTCTTCATCTTCCAAGGAAAGATAGTAGATTACCACTGTATCCATCTCAACATCTTTCCCAGTCTACAGCTTACCAGATTTGGTGCAGAAACTCGGTCTCACAGCCATCCTTGTCTCAATGTACTTTCAGAACTGCTGGGTAAGTGATCCAGTGCTGCAACAGCAGGTTACGCTTACATGAGCTTGCGGGGAATGCAGCAGTGTATGTACTCAAGGGAGTCAGAAGGATTCTCCTTCCCAAATCAAGCCTGTAGCTTTCACTTCGTACATTAAAAGTTCCTAATTCATCGCAAAAGCAAGCAGGAAATCCCAAATGTAGTCAGCTATGGGCAGCGCAACTCATGCATCACTAAATCTTCCCCTATGCGTGCAAGGCGGAGGCAACAGGGCGCAAGGGCCATTCCTTGCCTTCCCAGAAGCTGGAAGCAAAGTGCTTTAGAGCACACTTATCCCCTATGCTCCCCCTACTTCTCATTTCCTGAGGGGTAACATGAGAAAGTGTGTCTCCAGAGAATCTCATATAATTTTTAATTATTAATAGTGTGCAAGAACAGAGAAACTAGAGGGGACAAGGACAGAAAGTACCTGCCAAGAATCTCTCCACTCTCATCTAGTCCTACACATGTACAGTTACAGTGTTGCTCCAGACTAAGGGGTTTTACATCAAGTATTATTCAGTAAAGGCTGGGTAAAGATTGCATAGCTAACAGAAAGAGGTGTTCTAAGGAAACAAATATGCTATCTAAGGTTTGGATAACAGCAACTGCAAGACAGGAACGTGAGAAATGTTGGACTAGAGAATGAAGGACACAACAAGATAGCTGAAAAAACACACCCATATTCAACAGCTGGAAGAGGACTGATAACACTTACAAGACATCCAAGTTTTAGGGAGGAACATTAGAAAAAACACACACATTAGTAAGACAGTTAAGTACTCTGCTCATTAACACAAGATGGCACAGGTACAGATATTTTACTGGTTTCAAGTAAGGAAAAGTGGAGAGGCTAATAAAGTGTACTGCCATTGTTTGGAACAGAAGCTTGAATCAAGTGGTAGTTACTAAACCCACTTTGTCTTTTTGAGCAGACGAGTCTCAAAGCTTGGACTCTACTGTTTACAGAACACAAAAGCCTAGCAAACAAATGGGGAAAATATCCCAGTAACCCACTCCAAATCCCCCAAACTCCTGCCACGAGATGGTAACAGAAAAACCCAGCCATTTCAGCCAGAAAAGCAGAGAAGACAGCGTAGATTATAGCTCTGTTGTATAATTCCTTTGCAGAAGATTGAAGTAGATTCACCTAACCTAGCCATGTCCTTGCACATGTATCATCCAGCATGGTTTTAAACAAGATATAGCAACACGTATCTCTCATTTTCACATATAAATGCTGAAGCAGCAAGATTTAAATCATGAATTATTTTAAAGGTAAACATGAACAAACACACTAAACCAGATTTATTTTTGGTAGTTGAAATCACTTTTATTTGTGAGGAACGTCACCCATGCTGCACAGTTTCAAATAGATCTTACCAAGGAAAGCGGAAGTTTCTCCTCCCCGCGTCCTGCAGTGAACAGGACTGGCACAGAAAAAAAAAAAACTCATAAAAAAAAAAAACACTAAACCAGATTTATTTTTGGTAGTTGAAATCACTTTTATTTGTGAGGAACGTCACCCATGCTGCACAGTTTCAAATAGATCTTACCAAGGAAAGCGGAAGTTTCTCCTCCCCGCGTCCTGCAGTGAACAGGACTGGCACAGAAAAAAAAAAAACTCATCACACCTGGGAGGTTTAGCACCAGCATCCAATAAAAAAAGCATTTGATTTCAGTTTCAGTTCTTCGGTTGGGGTTTTTTCCCTTTTCAGTTTGATACCAAAAGAAAAATTGAAAAATTCAATACTAGCGAAATAGTGAAAATCTATAAAAAAAATATTCCCCACAGTTGCTGTTGAAACTGGGGAGGTTACTCTTTCTGAATCTCGCTCTCTTTTTCTCTCTTCATGCATCTATCTTGCAGGCGTTCCCTGGATCTCAGCTGCTGGTAAGGTTTTTTTTTTTGTTTTTCTTTTAAGTTCCGATGTTTCAAATCTTTGCTTTCATCATCACTGTTGATAATTTATTGCTTGAGTGTTTCTTTGGTGTTACTTTTGAGTTGTATTTTAGGACACCTGTTGAAGAGCCAAATTTTTAAAAAATTACTTTAAGTTTCATTTTCCTATTGAAGATATGGGATGTCAGGTGGAGAGGGAGTTATCCTAATAACAGACAGGACAGGCATGACTGGCTTATCCTATCTATAAGCTGAGAGTACAGTATCTTCCAAAAGCAAAACATCACTTAACTCATTAGCAAATGCTATTGCTATATAGACCAGACAGATCTTCCTGAAAAAATCAGGCTGATAAAGCAAAATTTACTTTGTGACAAATACAGACACAGAGGAGAGAAAGAAGAGAAAGCAGCAAACAGTTCCTTGGTTTGCCTATACAGCACTCTCAGAGGTTGTCACAAGTATCTAGCCAATACATAAGGGGACGTGGCCAGAGCCCAAGTCCTAGAAGTATACACAATGCTGCTTCAGTTGGAGAACAGGAACTATCTATATTCCTTACCTGAGGGATGGTAAAGGTGCCTGGGGAGCCGGACATTACTCAGCACCACTCTGCTCGGTCACTGGAGCAGGATTTTCAGCAGGCGTTTCAGTCACCTTTGTCTGAGACACAATAAACTTTTATTATAGGCAAAGACTGACCTCCAGACCATTCCTCTGTTCAGTGATAGGGCCAGCATAACCCAGGTTTTAAAATAATCAAGGAAGGTGAATCCTCAGAAAATACTAACTATAGGAAATACACTAAAATTTAAGTATTACAGAGCAGGTTCTGTCAGGGGACCACCTCAAGTAGATATAGAGTAAGTCTTTCCTCATTAAGGTAAAATCTGTCTTTGCAAACAGTTCCCTGAAATCACCTGGTTCAAGCAGTTCAGGAAATGGATCTGGAGCTTTCTAATCCCTCTCTCATACTACATACAGACTGAGGGCTTGAGGAAGCTGGAAAACACAACTGTTTCTCTCCACTTCAAAAATACTTGTTACAGTCTGACCCCAATTAAAGACTAACCAGAAGCAATCCCTCTCCCACTGCTGGCTCCATTTAAGATAAGCTGCGCATTCTCAAAAGAAGTCCACAAGGAACAGGCAAGGAAACCAGCTACTTTCAGCCATCAGCACTTTGGACGTGGCCATCAGACTCCTCCAGCACACCAACAGTACACTAGTTAAAACTCCCACAGGACAGATGGTCTTGAGCACTCACCCCATCAAAACTCTGTCTCTGCCACGTAAGAGCATGCTTACCTCTTTCCCATCCTGAGCTGGAGCATTGGGCGGACGAGGTCGACGCCGGTAGTTGTATGGGCGCCTATACCCACGGCGAAGTGGCTGCTGACTCATAGCGTTGGCCTCATGATGGTTCTCTTTGTTTTCAGCCTCTCCAGCCACTGGGGCAGGGCGTGGACGCGGGGGCCCTCTGAAGAGGGGAAGAAGTATGTGTTAAGTAGGAGAGAAGCCCGAGGAGGTTAAACTACCATAATTTTAGCCCAGCAAAAACCTCTCTAACCAAGTACCATCTGCAACAATTTTGAATGCTAGTAAACCATGCCTTTGGAGTTCAGCTGGCATATAGCTAGAAGGGAAAGACCTGTTTCATTGGGTTAGACAAGCAACCAGGGTGTCTCTTCACTGCTGAAGCTACATCAGCATATTCTGCTGTCAGTCCTACAATAAAGAGGTAGTTAGCCCATTTGAATTGCTGGCTAGGAGAAAAAACAAGGCAGTAGCAGCCATGCAGGCTGATTCTGCCAAGTTAGAGTGCCACTAGCCGTATACCAGTCCAGCCCTATTCATAATTAATGGTGTGATCCCTTCCTCAAGGGGGGCAGCGGAGAGGAAGGTCCTGATCTCCTCTCCCTGGTGAGCAGCAACAGGACAGGAAGAAATGGAACGAAGCCATGTCAGGGGAAGTTCAGATTGGACATTAGGAAAAGGTTCTCCACTGAGAGGGTGGTTGGTCACTGGAACAGGCTCCCCAGGGAAGTGGTCATGGCACCAAGCCTGTGAATGTTCAAGGAGCATCTGGATGGCAGTCTCAGTCATATGGTTTAGTTTTAGGTAGTTCTGCAAGGAGCACAGCGTTGGACTCAATCCTTATGGGTCCCTTCCAACTAAAGATATTCTATGATTCTGTAAGCTATCAAGTCCATGTTCCTGAAGCGTGGAAGAGCATTTCATGCCATTTCCAGTATAAGCAAACTATGTTTATAAACTGTCAAAACACAGCCAAAAGTGATGACGAAGTCACTGTGTATCTTAGTTCCCATTAGCTGGCTTAGCTAATCCACAGCTATTCAATCCCAAAAAACAAATTTAGCTTTTCCAAAGGAGCCTAACACAAAAGCACTAGTATCTCTGGATTTAGGTATTGCTTGCATTTACATGCACTATCTGTTAACTCAAACAGAAACATTCTTCACTCATATTGGATACAGTAAGCTATCATACCTCTTACAGGGAAAAATGCACCAGAAATGCATAAATTCCCATTAGCCATGGGCAAATTATCCAGCTTGTAATTCACCCACATGACATGCAAAAGCTCAGGTGCCTCACTGTACTTGGTGTGGTGCTACTCCTGACTGCCCAATGCTAATGAAAACTTTCAGGAATAAAATTTATTCTGCTCAGATCCCTACAAGCAGCAGCATCAGTATTACCCCATTTCCCACAATCCTAGATAAGAGAGCCAACTTTAACACAAAGATTCACAGATCAAAAACCTCAGAGTAGAGGTGGAAGGCTCATAGTTCTACACCCAGCATTCAGAAGAATGGATCCATTTTGCATGGAACAGGTAGTCATTACAATTAAGGACAATCTTGTTATTCCTATGAAATTCAGCTTTTTGTTGCTCTTACACCGTTATTTACACCTTGCCATTTTCAATCAAACATGCATATGCAAAAATGGGGATTACATCCATTTCATAGTTCATCTCTCTAAATTCAGTGTTGGAACTTAAGCTAGTTGATAAAGACAATGACAAGAGAAGGAAGGGAGTGAATGGCAGACTAATACAAATCAGCTCCTTGAGAACAAAATCATAGAACAGTTTGGGTTGGAAGGCACCTTTAAAGGTTGTCTAGTCCAACCCCACTGCCATGAGCAGGGACATCTTCAACTCGATTACATTGCTCAGGGCCCCACCCAACCTAACCTTGAATGTTCCCAGGGATAGGGCATCTACCACCCCTCTGGACAACCTGTTCCAGTGTTTCACCACTCTCATTGTGAAAAATTTCTTCCTTCTATCTAGTCTGAATCTACCCTCTTTTAGTTTAAAACCATTACCCCTTGTCCTATTGCAACAGGTCTAGCCTTTAAGTACTGAAAGGCTGCAATAAGGTCTCCCCGCAGCCTTCTCTTCTCCAGGCTGAACAACCCCAACTCTCTCAGCCTTTCCTCATAGCAGAGGTGTCCCATCCCTCTGATCATTTTTGTGGCCCTTCTCTGGACCTGCTCCAACAGGTCCATGTCCTTCCTGTACTGAAGACCCCAGAGCTGGATGCAGTACTCCAGGTGGGGTCTCACCAGAGTAGAGGGGCAGAATCACCTCCCTCGACCTGCTGGCCACGCTTCTTTTGATGCAGCCCAGGATACGGTTGGCTTTCTGGGCTGTGAGTGCACATTCCTGGCTCACGTCCAGCTTTTCATCTATCAGTACTCCCAACTCCTTCTCCTCAGGGCTGCTGTCAATCCCTTCATCCCCCAGCCTGTATTGATACTGGGGATTGCCCTGGCGCAAGTGCAGGACTTTGCACTTGGCCTTGTTGAACCTCATGAGGTTCACACAGGCCCACTTCTCAAGCTTGTCCAGGTCCCTCTGGATGGCATCCTGTCCCTCAGGCATGTCAACTGCACCACTCAGCTTGGTGTCATCTGCAAACTTGCTGAGGGTGCACTCGATCCCACTGTCTATGTCATTGATGAAGACATTGAACAGTATTGGTCCCAGTACAGACCCCCGAAGGACACCACTTGTCACAGATCTCCATCTGGACATTGAGCTGTTGACCACCACCCTCTGGATGTAACCATCCAACCAATTCCTCATCCACCAAACAGTCCACCCATCAAGTCCGTATCTCTCCAATTTAGAGAGAAGGATGTTGTGGGGGACTATGTGACAATACTTTATGAAGAACACCAGTGAAAGTAATCCAGTGTTTTATTTAACATGTCGCTCATTCTCCAAGATAAAACAAGTCACAAGAAGCCAAGAATCTGAATGAGCTTTTCCACTTAACTCAATTAAAACATAAAAAAAAAGTGAGGCAACATCTCAAAAGGTATGACAGTCAGAGGCCAACTATTTCACACTGATATTTTTAACTGCACCAAATTCCTCAGCTATGGAATTGTTACCTCAGTGTAGAGGCTGGAAGCTGGAGTGGTCATGTCAGAACTAAGGCTGGAAAAATGAAGAAAACATTCCTACACTGGCCAGTTTAAGGTATGACTAAACACAGATGACTCAGCAACTTACTCTGCATATCCCACTGGAAAGCATCAGTGTTCCTGTGAACTCCAAGGGATCTTTACTAAGAACGGCCTACTGGGTCTTTGAGTGTCCATTTATCCCAGTTCTATGGATCCCTAGGGAAAAATACGGACAAGGAAACCTACTTCCCAAACAGCCTCCCAGCCTCCACTTATTTTCCACACCGGGGATTTCCTGAGCCAGACAGAGTTTGCCTATTTAGAGATACCACAATGGTGTTATCTTCTAGCTCTTTGACAGTCTCCCCCAAGCTCATGCAAGCTTTTAACATCTCTGATATCCTGTGGCAAAAGGCTCCAACAATCTGCTGTATGCATAACAGCTCCAGTCAGCAACCTAAACGTGAGTCAGCAGTGCACTACTGCAGCAAAGGCAAAATGGATGCTGGGCTGCATCCACAGAGACAGCAACAGAGAGATGTGAATACCCCACTCTACACAGCACTTATCAGGCTGCACCTGGAGTACTGTGTCCAGTTCTGGTCCCCACAATTAAAAAAAAGGAGGTGGACAGACTGGATACAGTCCAAAGGAGGGCCATTACGATCAAAGGGCTGGAGAAACTGACCTATGAGGAAAGACTGAGGGACTCAAGGCTTTTCTCCCTGGAGAAGAGAAGGCTTAGGGGGGGAACTCGCAGTATTCTGGTACTCAAAGGGCAGCTACAAAGAAGACAGAGGCTCTCTTCACAAGAAGCCACATTGAGAAGACAAGGGGCAACAGGTACAAGTTGCACCAGGAGAGGTTTCATCTTGATATAAGAAAGATCTACAGTGAGAACAATTGCTTACCGGAATAACCTCCCCATCACTGAGGGCTTTCAAGATATGATTGGACAGGGTGCTAGATAGTCTCATCTAGGTTCCCTTTCCCACAAAAAGTTTGGCCAGATGATTTTTTGAGGTCCCTTCCAACCTGGGCTGTTCTATGGTTCTGTGAACCTCCCTTTGTTTTTCAGCATGTCTCCCACTTTCCTTCATTTGAAGGCTCCTCATAGTGTATTCTTTTATCACAAGAAAAAAGCAAAAACAATTTCATCCATCCTTTCCACTCCACTCATTACTCTGAGGACCTCTACGACCTATCTTCATTTGTTTTTACTCCTGGCCTCAGAGTCCTCAATCACTTCCATTCTTCACACTTTTTCCCCCCCTTCAATCATTTTTATGAGTTTTAACTTATTATTCTGGAAGCTCTGCAGTTTCTTTAGCAACCCCTTTCTCCAGAAGTTCTGGCAAGACTAACTCTAATAACCCTGTTTTGTTACCCTCTACTTCAGGAGCCCTCAAGGAACCCAAATTTATGTCTTGACTGACAGCAATAACCTCCACTGCACAGGATACTACAAGATAACTATAATGCTACCATATAATCTAAGGGCCTGTAAGAGATAGGCCACAACTTCAGTTTTTACTGAAGAGAAGGCTTTCCTCTGTACCTACAAGTAGCACCAGTGCATAAAACCAAGACTGTGTGACACCGAGGACTGAGCTGGATGCGCACAAGCTAGTAGTCCAGCGCTGAACTGCAAACTACTGTCTGCAGTCCACAAGAAAAGTTATAAAGCACACCCTGGCCCCTGCAGATGGTGGGTCTACCTGTCCCAGGTCAAGTGGGATTTGGATTCATTAGTTGTCCAGGAAAGTATAAGAGTTCAGCTGGAAAGACACAGACCCTGCAACTCACTTCAATACATTGCTCAATTGTGAGAAGTAACAGGATACAAGGAATTCTTCACCCTTGCTTGACCTGTTGCTGGCTCTGAGCAATATATAAGCACATTAAACAAATTCTACAGTTGTTTCCTTACTCCTATGGCTCACCTTTCTCCTAATAATTAAAATGCTTCTCACTGTCCCTACCATTTGCATGCTTGTTAGTTAATGCCAGGGAATACAGCTTCCTGCTCCTAATGAACCCTGTATAGATCACAAAAGCATCTGAATGTAATGATGAGCAAAGGAAATAGTACAAACCTGCGATAACGGGGACGATAGGTAGGATTCCTATGAACTTGTTGATGAAGTTGTCCTCCTTCTGTGACCCCATCCTTGATTTCTCCCTCACCACCCTACAACCAAAAGAAAACAGAAGACAAGAGTCAAAGATGAAGTGTTATCTTATTTCACAGGCCATATATTAACTATAAAGCCCAATGATCTGAACACAAGTTCAAAACCAGTATACCAGTACAGAAACACCAGCACACCAGGTAATAAGAAGCAGCAGATATTCAAAAGGGTTTAGTTTGGGCAAAGATAAGAGTAGGACAGAACAAAAGCCAATAATGCTGCCCTTGTTCCTCACAGCAACAGGCTGAAAGCTATCTGATGACACCTCCTTCCTGTCTGTCAAGAAAGTTCTCTCTGATGCATATGAAAGCACATTTCAAGACATGACATTGCATTGTAAGGGGTAAATTGTTATAGAGAGGCAGCTACTGATCAGCACACTTCTGAATTTGGAAAGCTAACTGAAAGACGTCACGCTGAAACTTGCCAGAGACCACTTCTGGCTTCATTCTACACAGAGCCCCATTCCACAGAGAGCCGCCACAAAGACATGAAGAAATTTAAAGACAGAAAAACTGTACTACATCATGTCAAATACTCTTCCACATACTCTCAACATTTTCAGCCTTTCAGAGATGCAGTGGTGATCCTTCCCCTTTTGTTGTTAACTGATAAAGCTGTATTTCAGGTTTGTTTTTTTTTCTAGTTTGTTGTTTGTTTTTTTGTTTTGTTTTTTAGATGCCAGCCATCAGTAGTGTCTGTTTTATAAAACATTACATGATTTACAGTTCCCATTGTACTATTCTTCCTTTTGAAAGAAGGAATTTAGCAAGAGATCTAGAAACAGAAATGCATCTTCTGCATCTGATCCAGTAGGAGACAAAAGCTATTGCTTCCTGACAGCCTTCAGTAGTCTACATTGTTTGACAGGTCTTCCAATTCTATACAGCTATTTTTACCACCACCATCATATTTTGCTCTGTTTTAACTGGCAATCTCAGGTAACTGCATGGGCAGTGAACTTTTTGCTAGCTAAGATAACATGATGGTAAACATTTAGATAGGCTGGAGCATTGTAACAAGAGCTGGAGGTTGTAACAAGAAATCTTGGGGAATTAAATGAACCTCAGTGACCAGCCTGGACAATCTTCTCCTCTCAACACAGTAAAATACCCTCCAAATGCATTAATAATTTGAAGCACTCTTTGTAGCTTCCCAAGTTTCCAAAAAGCACAGAGACGTTGCCTAGAAGCAACTGGAGTATTCACATATATACCTAGAAATAGCTATACCAGCTATTCTTAACAATACGACAGGGTCAGCTGCTGAGGTGAGTAGAGAAAAAGCAGAATTCAATTAAAAACCCCACAATCATAAATAACATTATCCATTATGTTCTGTCATGCATAAAACTGATCAGGACAACTAAATATCCACAGGAACTCCCACTGACTAAGTAGATAGTAATAACAGGTGGCATTTGATAGCAGTTGAGAAGTATTTGAGAGACTCAGAACCCAAAAGGAAAATTACATGTCTGAGTTTGACAGCATTATACTAATCTACTTTGCAATAACACTCTACCCTGTTTGTATCAAGATGCTTTGTACTACATAACTTTACAGTTTAATAGACCTGTGATGGGTGGTCAGAAGTGTCTCAGACAGTAAGGTGAGAAACAGCACCGCCAGTATTGTGCGTGGCAATAGTGAGTCAGAGGCCCTGGGATTTGCCTTTTGTGGCACAAGGACCTAATGCTGCTCCTGCTCTCACTCTTTCCCACGTGAGGACTGGCAAAGCACAGAAACAGGAGCAGAGAGCACCAAGATGTCAAGGGAGGAGACGATGCAAAACAATCCTGAACACGTTCCATCATAATTGCCATTTCTCTTCTGCAGGCTGTCTGAGCAAGCACACATGGAATCAGGGCTCAGTTCTAGCACTGCCACGGCAGAAATACGGAACCATGAAGGCCTAGCAGGTCTTGTCTGAGGGACAACGTGCCAGAAGCTAACAAAGCATCAGCCAACCTAATTGTAGGGAGGGGCACACAACAATATTTTTCATGAGCCACAGCTCTCCTATGCCACTTGACAAATCAGCATCGCATTCACAGCTCTTTAAAAGGTAGTATTGAATTTCTACATGTTTTTAATAGCACAGCCCAAGCCCACTCCTCCCTACAGAGGGCTGCATTAGAATATCAGATAAAAGACTCCATCTCCTGTAGTAATGGAAAGAATGACTAAACCTGATGAAGCATTACTTGAAAACAATGCAAACATTTTCCTATTCATCTTGAACTGAATGTTACTATGTCAGTATTTCAAATAGATTTGGCTTAAATAATCAGTTGAAAACAGAACAGCAAAGCAACTGAACTGCTTAGCCCAGAAGTCCTGATAGTTTCCTGCATCTTCTATAGTATCACTAAAATTCCATTAACACATTACATTAGTATCACTGTCAATTGATCTAGGTCTATTGGCCAGAAGTAAAGTATATCTCCAGAATAAAACAACTATGCTGTCAGAAGTCACTGAAACAGACACAACTTAACCAGAAAACAGAACCTGAGTTTTGAGGTCTTCTCTTATTGTACTGATAGTAAGTATATTAGATCCATTTATTAGGAAAGCTTCATTTGTACTCTCAAAAGCACCACACTGTCTAGCATACACATTATCCTGTTCACTCAGTCTCCTCCACAGGAACCTTCCAACTTAGTGTAATGCTTTCTAACAAAACCTTAGGTCATCCTAAAGGACAAATGAATGAAGCTGTACTCTGTATTTTCCTCTGAAGACGACCAAAATAGCAGGCAGGCTGTGATTCCCCATGAAGACCTTGCACAGATTTCTCTAACCCTAAAAAAGTACAAAATTTTATTGCTGTCCTCCAAAGAAAAGTTTTGTAAGCATTAACTGTGACTGCAATGAGCTTTATACCCATCTGCTTCCTTTAATTTCTTCTTCATTTTTTCTTGCATCTCTTCAGATCAGTCTGTAGCTTCTGTATACTACTATTCATCTTTTCAGGTCTCCTCTCTACAAGGAATAGTGTCAGCCTACAAAACAGCTTTCAAACTATTTCACCTATTTTCCAACTCACTGGTATAGAGGCTTCTTCTATTAGTAGTACACACAATAGGCACATGAGGACATCATGTGTTCTCAAGGTTATTCCACAATTCATCATCCGTTCTAACATTCTGACTACAGCTCCATGCCACGTCTATGTTGTCACCACTGAGTGAAGAGCACAGCCTCTTTTCTGTAGCAGATACAATTAAGAAATTTTTTATATGAACAAGTGCTTCTACTTTCCACAGAACTCTCCAGGCAATCCAGATGCAGTTCCACTGGAGATGGTTAAGTGCCTCAGATTCCTCAAGATTCACTCTCGAGAAATTCACACAATGTGTTCAAAAACAGACCCAGTAAGTTACATACAGAGTATAGGCACATTTGAGCTAGCATAGCAAGCAAAGGATAGCATTTTTAGTTTGCCTAAAACCATGCCAGTAAGCAAGGATAAATCAACTCTTGCTGCACTGCGAGGTTGGACTGGAGTTGCTAACAGACATCAATCAAAGTTCTTGATACCTAGAAGGCCACCATGTCAAAAGTCACCTCAACAAATTAAACAATTTTTTGTCAGTAAATACAGGATTGATGATGTGGACAGCTGAGCTCTGGGAAAGCCTTTCACCTCTGCAGCCTAGTATATCCTTAAGCATAGCAGGCCTGGCTACACTGAAACCTTGTCCTTCAGGTGTGCACCAACAGTTGCCTGCAGCTGAGTAAATATCCTTTCAACAAACACAGCCCAAGAGTGCCATACCATCAGCGACTCAAACTTGTCTCAAATATCGTACAGGACAGTTAGCCAAAAACAATTCCTCAAGTAGTGAGGCACAATCTTTAATGCACCTGTTAATGGGACCATACAGCACTACGTATACACTATTCTATGGCTCACAGACATTGCTACCTTTCTGCCCCCTTTACAGACATGGGAATGGAAGGGAAAAACAGGAGGCCTTGTTAAAGGAAAAGGCTATTAGAAATAAGCATCTTTCCAGATGCAGTAGACATGCAGTTTCAATTTGAAGAATGTGTTAACGGATGGAAGTGAAAATCTCCAAAAGGAAATATTGATGCTTCAGATGAGGATTCACTCTATTCTCAATTGATCTATCAAAGCAAGCACACAGGGGATGACAAGAATATCTGGACAAGTTTGAGTGGTTTCATTGACCTACACTAGGGAGTAGTTCAGGGAGAGTCCCTGCACAGCCCTTTGCAGTCCCTGCAAAGGCTTCCCTAAAGTGGAGCTTTGACTTTCTCAGGCAACTAATAAATGAGTGGGTAAGAAGGCCCAGCAGAATTGGTTGCACCTCAAACTAGCTCAGAGCACAAGAAGGGTCCACTGCAACATGCAGAAAGTTGAGCAGCATAGCAGAACATCAGCTCTGGCTGCACAAGGAACTCCTGACTGAGCTCAAACATGAAAAGAAAGTAACGCTTAAACAAGTCTTACACATACAAGTCTATGAGACTACTCAGGATACATTTGAGAGTGCTGAAGGAGCTGACCAATGTCAATGCCTGGCCAGTACTATTTTTTAAAGGCCACAGCAATCAGAGTTTACCTTGCTACCTGTTAGAGTGGCATGCTAAGGGAATGGTACTATAGGGTCTTGAATGAAACAGAATTTACTCTTAATTTTAACAGATGATACCAAATCCAGAGGAGCAGTCAATGCATTGATGGGAAGGCCTGACATTCAGAGGATACTCAACAAGCTAAAGAGAAGGACCAACAAACCTCATGAACAATAGCAAACCATGAACACCCAGGTTAATGTCCTTTGGTAAGTTATCATTTGCAAGTTTTGAAGGCTGTAATTTTTCCAGAGCCAATGATCCCAGAGAAAGAGCAGTATCTTTCAGGTTAGGAAACAAGAGATGACTTCACAGGGCATCAGGCACCAGTCACACAACAGCTAAGGTCTGGTACGCACACCAACTCAGTCTGGGGACTCAGATATAAGCAAGCCAAAGCAAAACAGTGTGATATCACAATTTGTACCCCTTGTGTATATCTTCAAGTACCAGGATCCAAGTGTGTTATAGTGTCACATGCAAGCCAGGTTTTTAGCTGCATTAGTTCACATTAGACATCCAAGAAAACGTGTCCCAGCACAAGTACCCTGAGACTGAATGTTCCCCATGTCCAAGTTGGGTCTCACATTATCCCTCTTCAGGCAAAAAGAAACAGCTGCTTTCCATGTTCAGCAATACACAGGGACGTCTGCTCATTTAAGATCTGAAGCAGCTCCAAGGCAACACCAATACCACCAACTAAAGCATTCACTCCCAATAAAGACAGTTGAGGGAGATTTTAATCTCAGGAGAGCAAAAGGAAACAGAATCAATACTGGGACATAGCTGGTTGATGAGCTAACAGATAAGACTGGAAACATCAAAGCACTGAACAAAACCAAGTATCCTAGTTCTTTGCCACTTGGCGTGAAAGCTGAAGCTGCAAACTATATCACCACAAGAACAAAGACATACTCAGTAATAAGCTATCAGTTACCAGCACCAGCTTCTAGCCGTCTCCAAGGGACTCAAAGAACACTTTTCATGTATTTAAAGCTCAGTGGTGTCCAGCAGGATTAAAGACAAGACCTCATGATAGCTAGTATAAACAGTTAGACTTTAAGGGAGGATTTGACAACATTCATTCTGTTTGCCCCCATGCTGTCAACTCTGTAGAACAAGATGAGAAGAGAGTTATGTTTCTTGGGCAGAGACTTCCACCAGGGCTCTCGTATTGTATCATTCACACATTTCTGCAAGTGATGATCACAGACTCAACTATTAAAAGAAAAGCTAATCAAGCCTGGAGTATGTTCCAGTTTGCTGGATTGTTCTAGGCACCAATTTAGTACAAGCACGATGTGGATAGGAGTAGTAACTGCTAGAACTACAGCCATGTACCTCATACTTCTCCCTCTGCAAAATCTTGCAGGGAAGCTGCTTAGGAAGGCTTGCAATGTTATGAATAGTGGTGTGCAGTTAATTTAAAGAAAAAAATGCATTATCTTTACACTGAACTGCTGTAGGCAGTAGGCCTATGAAGGGATGACACATGGAGGTTTCAACTAGCTGGTCAAACTACTACTGTACCATGCAAAAGCGATGAACTTCTAAACAAAATCTGTTTTCCAAGTAACCCTTTCAAGTTATGGTTATACTACTTAAGTGGTATTTATATTGCTCTAGGTGTCTCACTCCTTTGTGTTTACTCTTCAAACAAACAGATACCTTAACACTCAAAGAGATGCTTTTAACACGTTCTAGAAAGACATGCCAAGGAAGGGCCTACAGGACACCCAATAATAGAAAAATATCAGTATCCACATCAACAATGCACTGGAGGAATGCAGAATATTACTGAAGAAAACTCACAACTTAGTTAAGCATTGACAGTTTACTATATGCCAGTGCTGAACCTGTAGTTCCCTCTCATGAGGGGATTAGAAGACTGCTGAGGAGGTAGGATGACCACCACTAAAGAAATTAAACTTACACTTCGAGGTGGTCCACGGCGTCGGCCAAAATAGCCACGTCGATAGCGGCGCCGGTCTGCAGCATAGCGGCTGCCTTCTACAGGGACTCCATCTGGACCAGTGACATTAGCTGCTTCTGCACCCTGAAAGGCCAAAAGAAAGTAAACCAGGGTGGTGGGAGAAAAGAACAACCAGCTACAGGGAGAAAATGAAACATAAGAGAGGCTTTTTTGCATCACTTCCAAGCTACACAGATTCCTTCTTCCTATGTAGTGCAAAAGCAGGTTTGTTATTCTGAATCCCATAACCAAGAGTTATGATCATGAGTTAAGACCCTATCAGCCAGACTGAGTTCAGAGGAAAAAGCAAGTAGTAACTGATTAAAGGAAAAAAGAAAAGCTCAGAAAACTCAAAAAGAAGTTTGAGAAAGCAGAAGCACAAAGAACTTGAAGGTTCTTACAGTTATTAAGGTACCAGACTCCAAGACAAATTCTTCAGGGCAATATATGCCTCAGTTAATGATTATTGGGCAGGCTGCAAGCTTCAAATGCTCTATCGAGTAAAAGTTACAGATTCTAGAACCACTAGGATGTAGTTAGAGTTTTGATCCTTATCTAGAAACACTTCTTAATGAAGCCTTTAAAAAACTGCTCTTCCACAGAAAAGCCGTATGAATGCCACCCACCCTAGGGATTAATACATTAGACAAAAACACCAAATACACAGCTAAGGTTCTGTGTTACTCCCCGCTAGAGTGACGTTAACTCTGTTGAACCACACCCCTAAGTCTCCATAATCTCTCACCTTCTCTCCCTCGACCACATCAAATTCTACAGTCTCTCCATCACCAACACTGCGCAGATATTTCCGTGGGTTGTTTTTCTTTATCGCCGTCTTTAAAGAAAGAAGATACAGAAAAAATATTATTTCATCTTACACATTCATAGCCCTGTAGATGAGGGAAGGACAGTATTCTTCTGCTACAATCCCAACTCTACGCACCAGATCAGTTGCCACACCAAGACACTTCACATACATAGATGTGTCTCTTATTCCACAGGCCCTCCAATATTCAGTCAACATTTACTCCTTTCTCAATACTTATGAGTTTACGAATCAGCTGTTGCCCCAGGATCCCCTCTGTCAAGCCTACTAAATATCCAGATCATTAAATTTCTGTACAAACAGAGTTCACACTGAGCCTTTGACCTCCTGCAAGCTGTACCAAGGCAGCTCCAGCAGCAGGTGTGACCCATGCCTTCACAGTCATTAGGAGACCTGTAGACCATCTACAGAGAACTTAAGACCAGGAGCATTTTTGTAGAAGGTGCCAGTAACTATAAGGTATCATGACAACTCATAGTAACTAAAGAAGAATTACTATAACTCTGATGTAACATAAATAAGCATTTTACTTAAGCACTGTAACAGAGATCCCCAAAGAACGCAGGAATAGTACCAGAATAGACAATCACAGTGCTAGCCATCTCCTAGATGGAAACCCCAAAATACTATTAACAACATGGCTTCCGATCAAAACCAGCTGAAAGCCTCCTCAGACTCACAGGAACACTCAAACCTCCTGGAGTGATTTTCAGCCTGTCAGCTATGGATGCCTTTCACTCTGTGGAGTATTTCTAGGATTCCACAAAAAGCCGTTAGCAAGACAAGCCTGCTATCTGTTCATTAGGTAAGGGTTCACAAACTGAAGAGGCCAGGGGAGAAAAAACCCCAAACAAACCCAAAACACACACATTGTACAAGCCAATCTAGTAGCCAGCTTTTCACTGAAGTTCCCTTAGATTATTACAGACCAATTCACTTTAAGTTTCCCGATACGGGCATCTTTTGTTAGCATGAAGGAGGCAGGTGCAGATCCAGTTGATAGAAGCACACATGGAAATACAGGGGACAAATCTGGCTTAAGAAATGGGATGCAGGGGAGAAACAGAAGAGACAGTTATCGTATCTGTCTGCAGATCAACTGATCTTAATTCTGCCTTTTTTTTTGTTTGAGTTGCTGCCTGTGCATGGCAACTATATTCATTCAGTCAAAAACAGCCCAAAAATATTCCCCACTGAACTTCTAATCAGTTTAAAGTTGAGCTTGACCAGTTTAGGAAAAGTATTCTTATTGCTGCTGAATACAGTCCCCTTTGTGTTTCAGGCAATAGGCCAGCACATCCTTTCAGTCCTACATCTAGCCACACCTTTCCCTGTACCCTGCAGCGTCCCTGAACAGCTTAAGGAAGAATGCAAGAGTGTACATATTATTGTTATCAAAGCAAAAACAACCCCAGCTTTTTTTTTTTTTATACAGGAAGAGAATGAGCTTCTCAAGTGAATTCTTTTGGGAATTACTTTACAAAGCAGACTCCCACCATCAGCTGAGACAGCTTTGTTTGCTTTCTGCTGACCTATTAGTGTAACTGCCCCATTTCTAAAATCAGCTGGAAGTGCTAGATTTTCCATAAATGCTATATACTAATACTAAAATCGTTATCTTCACTGCAGATTAAGGGTTTAGTTCTTTCACCACTTGTGCTGACACAACTGACTCAAACTCATAAGACTTGTGCTCTGCATACGACAGAGTTGTCAACAAGCTGTATTTCAAACTCCTTCCCCTTCCTTCTAAGTGCAGAGGAAGAAAGGACTACCAGATTTCTTTTCAGCAGAGGGTGTGTACTTAACATTAATCAAGCTCCTCAAACGTCCTCCAGGAAGGGTAACAGAAGATAAATTCAATGGGATTCCACACATTCTGTTCCAGCTTTATGGCCAGAAACTTCAAAATTCAAATTTGCAATTGAGTAACCTGCCAATAGGAGACAGGCTGCCACACACTAGGCTGAGGTTTAGGTGACTAGGAACAATTTTGAGTAAGTCCTAGAATTCAGAGCAGAAACTATATGGCTTTACTGCTAACTACTTCAGCTGCAGGTAAACATTGCTGAAATAAGCCTCTAACAAGCCTAAGCTCTAAGCCTGATGAAGAGACTTTTACTCTGTATATCCCGAGGGGAGAGAGCAGTATTCTCGCTGTTACTGTTCACCAGCATCCTGCAGGCTCCAGCTTCTTTAACACAAAACATCTGTCTTTTGAATTAACACAGACAGCACTCAACAATTAAGACAGAGCCTTTCCTTTCCCAAGGGGACACCCATGAACAGACAGCTATAAGAGTCTTCAGAGCTAGTTCAGTATTTTGTTTGGAAGAGTTCTTTCCACATCCTCATGATATCACCACATCATGTGCACATCCACCATTGTCACAGCAATAGCCAAAATTCGTTACACCAGTGACTGGTGCACGTACACCAGGCTGTGTACGATGAGTACAATCCAGTGGAGTGAAGAAAGACCTGTGCAGCAGAAGATATTAACTCCTCCTCACTGCTTGTGATTCAAACTATACCTAATTAAGCTGGGCTTCTCTGGCTACTGACACTTTTAATGGTGTTAAATTGCAAGACCCTGCTCCCCTCCAGACACACTCCACCCCACAAGGCGGATCGATCCCTATTAGTTGCACCACCTCTACTGACACAGTGCCCTAGACAGCAACTTGCGTGAACCAACCGGACACAGATGCAAGCAAGGCAAAGCAGGTGAAGAATTGCCCTTCCCCAAAACACTGCTTGGGTCCCCTGCAAGACAAAGGGTTAATTCAAAGCAAGCCATGCATGCCCTAAAGAGAAAAGCATTTTAATCTGTACTAGGTTTATAAATAGCATCCAATAGCCAGACACCAAGCGTTAACCCCCATTCCAATCATGAGATCGGCCTGTTCCCTCCCCACTGCAGATGCATGCTGGGGAGGCAGGGAGGAGACTGTATCTATTCAACTAGGTCAGCCTTATTCTGAAGGGATTAGGCATGTAATCCAGTCCCTCCCGGGACGGGCGCGGGAGGAGGCTGGCACTAACCCTGGAGAGGGAGCTCCCTCACAACAGGATGTTGGCTTTCGCAGTGGATTTGCCTCCCTCGCTGGGCGGGCCCCATCCTCTGGCCCTGCTGAGCCAAGCAGGCAGGAGCTCCAGCCAGAAAGCCCCAGGCTCTGGTAGCAAGCACGTTCACGTACTGGAACAACTCGAGGTGGAAGAGCTGAGGAACACCCGACTGCAGCCAACCCAGGCCAGAGCTGGAAGCGTCTACCCTGCCATGCACAGCCCACCAACAGGGTTAATCAGATGCAAGCTTGCACATGATGCGGCATTTCTGAAACATCAAGCCAGTTTTGCTCAGTGCTCACTACGACAGTATTTTAGCCACAGGAGATAAATAAGTTCCATACACACACCAGTTTACATTTAGGTGAATAATCTCCACAGGTGAAGGAGACAAAACAGCACAGATAATACTAGCTTGCTGTGGCCCTTCACTGTTTGGGTCTCAACCCAAACTGTTTGGGTCTCATTCCCAAGCAGAATAACAACTGATCCATGTTTATCTATGTTATCAGCACAACAACCATTTTCCAGGATATCTTCTCACAGGTCTCAGGAAGACCTTGTTTGTCTTCAAGGTAGCATGTTTCTGCTACTAGAACTCTTCCCACCTTCCTCTGGACATGTTCCCATCAGGCCGCAGACGCAGCGTCTGTATCAGCGTGCACAGAGAACATCGTCGTTAATGAAGGAGGGTGACCCTTAGAAATTGTTACATGCATTGATAGCTCTTGCTCCCAGTCCAACTGAACTGGGAATGTGTACTGCGCACACTTCCCGACATCTTCGCTCATTACAGGCACTAGACTTCCTCCCAGCTTCATCCATTTTACGGATAACGAGTTTACACTCCTTGACCCAGAGAAACAGTTATCACAGGCTATTTAGTCATGAAGCCACAAAACCTAAACCCTCAATGTTGACCAGCATGTTTAACACAACTACATATGCACATATCCTCATCCTCTGTGACCAGCTCCGAGTGTTAAGTTTCCTGGCTACATTTGATAGAAATCCTGCCACTTATGCCACAGACAAAGCTCATGCTTTTAAGAATCACATGAGCCTGCAGACATTTCATATGGGACAACCTCCAGGAGCAGTATCTCATTTTCTGGTGAAGTAAAAGTCTCAGATGCTGCAAAGACAGATCTAAGCCAACTGATCAGTTTATAATAGCATGGAGACAGCATCCCCTGTCTTCCCATTAGTTGCCCGTGACCCGAGAGTCATGGTATAAACTTAGAACACCCTACTGACAGTTCAAGGAAAGTTAACCAATGACAAGCTGCTGGGCAACCTCTCTGTGCTTGGGCACACTTGGCACACAGCCTTCCTCCTCTTCTTCCTAAGAGCAGCTGCCTCATGCAGTAACAGCTGATGGCAACCCAGGCTGGTCAAGAGCCAGACTAGATCACTTTCTCTCCAATACCAGGGAGGGCAGACAGAACAGACCTGAAAACGAAGAGGGTAGGAAGAAACAGAAGACACAAGGAGCATGAGGAAATGGAGGGTAAGGACAGACAACAAGTAGCAAGGTATTTACAAAACAGCAGAGTCATGTCCCCAGGGAAGGGACAACCAAACAAAACAAAAACACACAAAAAAACCAAAAATCCTTTAGTGTTCAAATTAGAACAGACAAAAGAAAGCATGAAGGGTTATAATACCTACTCCTTCAGTTATAACTCCAGAGAGTAGGAAAACATCCTAATATTCCTCCCTGAAAATTTCAACATACATGTCCATTCAAGGTATTTGCTGTAAATATTCTAAGAAGCCAGGACAAGGTTGGGTGGCTGTTTCAGGAAGCTGCATTAGAAACCTTTCTTAGTGCACATCCCCATGTACAATTACTACTGTCTTACCTGATGAACAAACACGTCTTCTTTGGTATCATTTCTGCGAAAAGAAAGTGAGAAGTCGTAAGAGTTCAGACTAAGAGACTTAAATAGAAATCCCTGACTTCACAAGTGAAACCCTCCTTCCCCCAGCCCGTAGTACCACCCCTGGATTCCATACATTCTGTGTAAGCCTATGCTACTAAGACCCTGCTCTGAATTTCCAGGGTCATATGCTTGACAGCAAGAAAGTACTCCCCACCCTCCAGACGGGTGAGGGGACAGGGGAAGGTTCTCTGTAATCTTCTGGCAAATGTTCAATATTTTGTTTTGAAACAGGGCAGAGTTAATGACAGGACTGCTTGCCTTTCACTATTCCACCCCCCCAAAAAAACTTCCACAGGGGCTGCAACCTGAGCTGTTATCCCAGAGGTCAAGCAAAACTATCAACAGGACTGGCCACAGCTGTTAACAGAGCTCTCCTTTCAGTGAAACTCAAAGCAACCAGGCACAAGAGGTGTTAGGAAGAGTCCATTGGAGGGGGACCCAGACATGAACATCAGGTTGTCTGGATCAGAACAGCCAGTTCAGGCTTCCACATGCAAAACATGAAGACAGGTCCAAGACCTTGATTCTGTGCTCCCCTACAACAGAAAGAGCCTAGACCCTGCCGTCTGTTCACTCAATTCCTTCTCTGCAAAGGGAACATGTGGGTCAAAGAGTTTGTGAAGATAACACATAATCCAAAACTTGTTGCACTGAACTGAAGTATAGTAGACTTCAGTTTAGGAAGAAAGCTAACAAGTTATTACACCATATCCAGCTGAAGGCTCTCACATCAACTGCTATGAAAGACTTTAGAGTACTTCCTAATTCAAGCTTTTCTTCTAAGCTTACATAACACACTGGATAGTAGCCTCCGGAGACTGGGATTAATACTGTAACAGAACTGGCTTCAGATCCATGAAACAGGGCTCTTCTACCTCTTTCTACAGTGTCCAACTTGCCCAAATCCACCTGCTGTGTAACAGTTCAAGGACTTGCAGGACAAAATAACTTGCCAGGTATGTCTTTTGCAAGACAAGCATTCACCACGCAGGAGCTTCGTTTTTTCACAAAGCACACAAGACATTTAAGCCCCTCAACCCCACAGGTATTCCAGCCTTAAACGACAGTTTTCTCCAGTAACTTGGAAGTGTGGGTCTTGGGCACCTAGGGTTGGAGTGTGATCGGTATCACTTACAGCTATTTGGATTATCAATGCCATTCAGAGGTTTGTTCATGTTCAGAGGAGGAGAGAGATACAAAGAAAGAATTTCTGTGAACCCAGGCCTGCAGGCCTGGAGTATCTTCAGTTAGATGACATCAGAGAATCTCAATGTGTATTTAGAGTGGGTATTTTGACCAATTAGTTAACACTTGAATTTTTATCCAAAAGTATTTCCCCTCATCCTCCGACCTTACTTGCACCTTTGAAAGAAGCCAGGCAGTCCTGAAAGAACACACAGCTCATTACAGGTGTAGTACCAGTAAAGATGAGAAACAAAGTAACAGACCAAATTTGCAATGAGTTTGACCCTTTCCATTTTCTCCCCATGCACACAACCTTCAATGGGGGGTGGGAAGAGTCCCCTAGGATGATATCAAAGTTTTGAATGCCTGGCCAGATCTGGCTATCAACCGCATGAACTTGTAATCAGGTCCTCGGGTCTCTGCTGCGATTACTAACACATGGCATATTATCTGTACCACGAGTCTTAGTACAGCATAAATACAACTATCATAATTTAAACATACCTGTTGATAAAGCCATATCCATTTCTGACATTGAACCACTTGACTGTGCCAAGAACTTTGGTGGCTGGAAAGAAAAAAGTTAAAGAAGTTATTCTAAAACATAATGAAGTAAAAGAACGTTACAAAAATACTTTTATACCTGCACATGAAGTCACAATCAGACCCATTCTGCTTCCTTAACACTCAAAGTGTACCTTCATCTCCCACTTCAGTTTGTACTAACACTGTAGCAGGAAGCAGTTCTTCAGCACTTGCTGTTCTTCAGCCAAGAGTTTACCACACAGCACCTAGAATGAAGTCCAGCTCTATTTTCAGAACTATTTCAGGCCATCCATCCCATCTCTTTTTTATTTCTTATCCCAGAAATGGGCAGTGAAGCTGAAAATCCCACTGCCATTCATCAGTTCTCTTTAGCTTAGTAGCTAGACATGAAACATAGGTGGAGAAAGCTGCTTAAAAGTCCTCTCTTTCGCTGAAAGAGAATCACTTTTTCTTTTCTTCCTTGGAAACCAGAACTGGCCAAAGAAGCAGTATCAAGCACCATGCAACTCTCTCAAGTGGAGAGGCAGCACACCGTTATTTTGGACAAGCTCTTTCTTGCATTGTCAACATCACTGTAACCAAACAAGACCCCACAAGACGTTTTTGTTTGTTTTGTTGTTTTTTTCTTTTTTTTAATATTCCTACTTCTAGACATCTGTGATTTACCAGTTACAAACTGACCGACTTTATGTTTCAAGGCTTCTAGGATCAAGACAAGCTCCTGTCTCAACACCAAAACAGCATCTTACTTAGAAGCCATACTGCAGTGTCTTATAGGATCTGGCGAAACCTGTTCCTCCAACATATAGGTACGTGTGGGAGGAACTCAACAGCAATGGAGGTAGTTCAACCTCTCCTTCCCTCTCAGCAACTGGGTGGAGACCACAAACTTGTACTTTTCAAACCTGTAGGAAAGGGAGAATTTTGGGCTCTAGACTTTAACAGATGTTACTGATTACATAGCATGACCACAACTATCTAAGCAATCTACATAGTACTTATTTGAAAAGGGTCTAGTCACCTACAGGTGGCCGCTTGTTAAAAACCTTACATGTTTGGTGGCGGGGGGAACTCAAGAGGCAATTAAAAATAAAATAGTCTAGAAACAATCTGCAGTTCAGAAGTACAAGCCAGTCTGCTAGAGGCAAGAGCACACTGCAAATTGTTACCTTCATCTGCTCTACACCTGCATTCTTCCCTAAACATCCACGAGGAGATGACAGAGCTAGACAGACCTTTGGTCTCACACAGTCTTGCCATTCTTATATACCCCTCTGACAGACAAAAAGAGCAACCTCTTCCTCCTCCTCCCCTGAATGGAGCACTAAAGTAGGAATGTTTACTGATAGCAGTCCATCGTAGTACTGTTGCTGTTACTGAAAATAATAACAGGCCATTTCTCATTGCACTTTTAGAAGTGAAGGTTTTGGTCTTCTTTAATACAATTTTTTAGCAGAAAAATGTTCATATTTAGAAGAAGCAAAACCATGTTAAGACTGAGACAGTTACTAGAGAAAAGGGCTCTACCTAGTACAGCATCCATTCCCAAGACTTCTTGTTTACAGAGATAAAAACCCTAAGTTTCACTGCCTAGCACTGATTCAGTAACAATAACAGTCTTCAGCATCAACATTTGTAGTCATGCTTGTACATTTAGTTTCATGGGGACATCACTAGGTACAGACACTTATTGCTACCACAAAGGCACTGGCTACATGCAAGAGCTCACTGCACTAAGACAAGTCAACAGGGGAAGAAGGGGGGGGTGGGGGGGAAGCCAAGAAACAGGTGCCAATGGCACATGCAGGTTTTAGCCTGCTTTAAGAAACAAGGCTAATACCACTGATTCCCCCACCATCATCCTTCCCCTCCCCCACAAAATAACTATTGAATCTGTTGGCCTACTTCAGTCAGATTAGGAAGAAGGCGAGAAACCTAGGAAGCCTCACGAAAACCCTCGGAGGGGTCAGAAAGCTGGTAGAAGGAGAGGTAGTCAAAACTCACTCTACATGGCCAGCTGGCTGCTGATAAATGGAAGTCCACAGACACAGCTTCAGAGTAACACTGCTCCTTTTGCACAAGCTGCCAGAGACCAGGGGCAAGTCTCCAGCATATTCCCTAAAAGTGTACTGGGGAAATACCATTCCCTACCCACACTAGTCTTACAGTCTCCCCTAAGCATCACCGGGGGGGGGGGGAAGATCATCAGACACAACAGCATGACACTGAACATCCACGTGGCCACGGCGCAGCCAGCGTCAAGCCTGAGCTGTCATAGCGGGGAAATCAGGCAAGGAGGAGGACAAGCCAAGAGGAAGCCATAACTAGTTTTACTGAGGAGTCAGAGAAGACAGTTGACGCGATGACAGCTATCCCACCAGCAAGTGGAAGCCCATATATTTCTAAAAGATGATGTACTCTGATGCTATCAGAGGAAACAATCGTCAGCCACTCCTACTCATGCCAAAACAGCCTTTCATTAGTTTTAACAAGGAAAGCCAAAGCTTCCTGTGACTGAGAAAGAAGAAAAAGTTGATTAACCTTTATCCTTATACCTAGAAGTCAGACATTTGGATGCCCTGGGCAAGCATCAGACCTTGCTTCTAATGGGATCTTTGTAAGAGGAAACTTAAGTGAACATAATTTACAAGACTATTAACAGGGACATTTGAGGTGGACTTGAACATAAGTCCATTTTCAATTAGCATTATCAGCGATCATTTTCCTTACAACTCCTGCTAAAAAGCTCGCCTACAAAACCATCACTATTTTCTTTTTCCTGCTAGCCCAGGGAAGGCACTTGTGCCTTCGCTTTTTTCTTTCCCCTCTCCAAGCAACAGGCGAACAAGATAAAAACATTACCAAGAATAAAACAAGCCACCTTAAGTCAAGAAGCAGCCAGACATACCAACAGATACAGATGTGCGTTGACTGATTACTGACAAACCAGATAACAGAACAGGGGAAAATCACACAAACCGTACCTCCAACTTTTGTTTTGCTAGAATCCTCCCTACCTCAGCTCCAGAGAAATCCTTTACCTGGCTCCTCTATCTGCTGCAGGAAGACTTCAGAAGGGAAGATGCTGCCTTTCCTTAACAAAGTTCGGGACTCTGCCCTAGTAGTCAGCCTCAGCTTTGCCTTACTAACCGCTTACTGCTATGCAGTTATAAACAGCAGATCCCTATTTCCACTGCAGATGGAAGTCTTGTCCTTTTCAACAGGTTGATCCTGTTTAGTCACCATGGAAAAAAAAAAAAAAAAAAAACACCACAGTAGCAGAGGTGGCAACTTGGTATTTCGCTTGCCTCTTTACTGATAAAGTAGAAAGTAAAAATAAAAAACCACTAATCCTAGAGGTATTACGAAAGCGGTATTCTTTATAGATAGAAAAGTTGTGCAAAGACCTTAAGATTAAAGGGGGAGCCGCCTAGGGTTTACCAGCAACTCTTTCCAAGGGGAGATACCCCTGCAGGCGGCAGGTACCGAGAAGCCCGTCAACATGGCTGCGCTTCACTCCCTAGCCCCGTCCGGCACCGGAGAAGC